CTCTTATTTTTTCAGATGAATTTCATGGTTGCTTTTTCTATTTCTATGAGGAATGCCATTGGGATTTTGATCAGAATTGCATTAAATCTGTATAGTGCTTTTGGAAGTATGGTCATTTTGATAATATTAATTCTGCCTATCCAAGGGCAAGTTGGCTCTTTCTATCTTCTAAGGTCTGCTTTGACTTCTTTATTTAGGGTTCTGTAATTTTCATTATGTAAATCTTTCATTTTCATTAAGTTGATTCCCAAGTATTTTATCTTTTTTGAGGCTATTGTAAATGGGGTAGTTTTCTTCGTTTCCCTTTCTGAGGATTTGTCACTAATATACAGAAATTCTTTTGATTTATGGGTTGTTGACTTTATATCCTGCTACTTTGCTGAATTCATTTACTAGTTCTAGAAGTTTTATGGTCGAACTTTTAGGGTCTTCTAGGTATAGAATAATATCATCAGCAAATAGTGCCAATTTGAGTTCTTTTCTATGTGTATGTCTTTAATTTCTTTCATCTGTCTAATTTCTCTAGCCAGTGTTTCAAGAACTATGTTCAATAGAGGTGGTGAAAGAGGGTATCCCTGGGTTTTTGTTGTTGTTGTTGTTGTTGTTGTTGTTTTTACAGTTTTTAGAGGGAATGTCTTCAATTTCTCTCCATTTAGAATGATGTTGGCCTGGGGCTTAGCATAGAGAGTCTTTATGATGTTGAGATATGTTTCTGTTATGCCTTATTTTTCTGATGTTTTGAACAAAAAAGGGATGCTGTATTTTGTCAAATGCTTTTTCTGCATCTATTGAGATGATCATATGGTTCTTATTTTAAGTCTATTGATGTGATGAATTATATTTATTGATTTCTTTATGTTGAACCAAACTTGCATCCCTGGGATGAATCCTACTTGATCTTGGTGCACAATCTTTGTGATATATTTTTTGTATTAGATTTGCTAGAATTTTATTGAGAATTTTTACATCTATGTTCATTAGAGATATTGGTCTGATGTTTTCTTTTTTTGATGTGTTGTTTCCTGGTTTTGGAATCAGGGTAATATTGGCCTCATAGCATGAGTTTGGAAGTGCTGCCTCTTTTTCTATTTTCTGAAATAAATTGAAGAGTATTGGTAGTAGGTCTTCTTTAAAGATCTTGTAGAACTTGGCTGTGTATTCATCCGGACCTGGGTTTTTTTTTGGTTGGTAGACTTTTGATGGCATCTGCTATTTCATCACTTGAAATTGATCTGTTTAAATTGTGTATATCATCCTGATTCAATTTGGGCAAATTATATGACTCTAGAAATTTGTCAATGCCTTCGATATTTTCTATTTTATTGGAGTACAAGTTTTTAAAATAATTTCTAATTATCTTCTGTATTTCTGTAGTGTTTGTTGTGATATTAACTTTTCTGTTACCTATGTTAGTGATTTTCTCTCTCCTTCTCTTTATGAGCATGGCTAAGGGCCCGCCAATTTTATTTATTTTTTCAAAGAACCAACTTTTGTTCTGTCAGATTTTTCAGTTGTTTCTTTTGTTTCAATTTCATTTATTTCAGCTCTGATTTTAATTAGTTCCTGTGTTCTGCTGCTTTTTTCTTGGGCTTTGAGATGTGATATTAAGTCATTTATTTGTTGACTTTTTTTTTCTTTTAAGGAATGAACTCTATACAATGAACTTTCCTCTTAGAACTGTTTTCATAGTGTCCCAGAGATTTTGATATGTTGTATCTATGTTCTCATTCACCTCTAAAATTTTTTTTAATCTCGCCCTTGATGTCTTCTGCAGCCCATTGTTCATTCAGTAGCATATTATTTAGTCTCCAGGTTGGAGTGAATTTTGTTTCTTACTTTATCATTGATTTCAAATTTTATTTCATTATGATCTGATAGACTGCAGGGTAGTTTCTCTACTTTGTATATTTCCTAAGAGTTGCTTTGTGGCATTGTATATGGTCTATTTTAGAGAAGGATCCATGTGATGCTGAAAAGAAAGTGTATTCTCTCATTGAAGGATGAAATATTCTATATATGTCAGTTAAGTCTAAGTTATTGATTGTATTATTGCGTTCTAGAATTTCTTTGTTCAGCTTTTGTTTGGAAGATCTATCTAGTGACAAAAGAGGTGTGTTAAAGTCACCCAAAATTACTGTGTTGTGGTCTATTTGACTCTTGAACTTGAGAAGAGTTTGTTTGATGAATATAAATGCTCCATTGTTTGGGGCATATATATTTATAATTTTTAAGTCTTGTTGGAGTATGGTTCCCTTGAACAGTATGTAGTGTCCTTCTTTATCCTTTTTGATTGACTTTAATTTGAAGTCTACTGTATTTGATATGAGGATGGAACCCCCTGCTTGCTTCCACAGTCCATGTGGTGAGTGGTATGATTTTTCCCACCCATTCACCTTAAGTCTATGGTTATCTTTTTTTATGTTATGAGTCTCTTGGAGGCAGCATATTGTTGGGTCTTTTTTTTTTTTTTATCCAATCTGCTAGTCTATGTCTTTTGATTGGTGAATTTAGTCCATTAGCATTCAGGGTTATTATTGAGACATGATTTGGATTCCCAGCCATTTTTGTTTATTTTTGGCATTTAATGTGACTTGTTTTCTCTTCTGGTTAGATTTTTCTTTAGTGTAATACCTGCCTCTGCTGATTTTCAACATTGTTTTTTATTTCCTTTTCTTAAATATTTTGCTGAGGATGTTCTGTAGTGCAGCCTTTTAGTTGTAAATTCTTTTAACTTTTGTTTATCGTGGAAGGTTGTTATTTCATCATCAAATCTAATGCTTAGTTTTGCCAGATATAAGATTCTTGATTGGCATCCATTTTCTTTAAGAGCTTACGTATATGGTGTTCCATGATCTCCTAGCTTTGAGGATTTAGGTTGAAAAATCTGCTGATATACAAATTTGTCTCCCCCATATGTAGTCTGATTCCTTTCTCTGCGGCTTTTAAGAGTCTATCCTTATTCTGTATGCTAAGCATTTTCATTATAATGTGACTTGGTGTAGATCTGTTGTAATTCTGTAATTTGGTGTTCTGTAAGCCCTTTGTATTTGGTTTTCCAATCTGTTCTGCATGTTTGGGAAATTTTCGGATATTATCTCATTGAAGAGATTGTACATTCCTTTGGTTTGAAACTCTGTGAAAGAACTCTAAGGCTTGCCATCGGAGAAAATGCCCGTTTATTGAGGAACAGCTCTACATATTTATAGAGCCGGGGCGGTTTGACAGTTATGACAGAATGGTTTGACAGTTAGCATGAGGTGCTTTCTGATTGGTGGGTAAGGATCATGTGAGCCAGCAGAGCTGGTCTGATTGGTGGGTAAAGATCATATGAGCCAGCAGGGCTTACCATTGGACGGCTCTTCTTGGGGGGTGGAAAAGTTAGTCTTTGGAGCCAGGACGACTCCCAACACTCTGTGCCTTCCTCCATCCCAATAACTCTTAGATTTGGTCTTTTGATGTTGTCCCATAATTCTTGAATGTTCTATTCATGGTTTTTTACTATCTTCACTGTGTGATCAACTTTATTTTCCAGATTGTATACTTTGTCTTCATTATCTGACATTCTTTCTTCCAAGTGGTCTAGTGT